TTTTTTTTTTTTTTTTTTTTTTTTTTTTATTTTTTTTTTTTTTTTTTTTTTTTTTTTTTTTTTTTTTTGCGGGACAATGCGCTGCCCCCCCACCCCCCCACCCCCCCCCCCCCCCCCCCCCCCCCCCTCGAGAATTTGATCGTCAGCCCGCAGGGCCAGGGCCAAGTTTTTAAAACCGGGAGGCTGGCATTCCTGGCAGGAGATTGGTCAGGGCTGCGCCAGACGCTTGCATTGCCCTTGTTTGTCCACCGATCGGGAGGCGCGACCCATGCTGGGATGTAAAGGACCCAGCAGGCTTCGGCGTGGTGTCCTGGATCGGTCCTTGGGGCACTCGTTGGCGCATTGCATTGTAAGCAAAGGTGAGCAGAGGCTCACCCTTTTCTTTTGCGCCATGCGCGGAGCGTACTCCTCCGCACGCTGCCATATGCTCGGCAAAGAGTGCCTTCAGCGCCGACTGGCGGGTGGCGCCACTGTGCGGAGGAGGATCTTTTCTGGCCCTTATCCTCACTATCGTGACAATAGCACGGTGAGTGAATCCTCGAGGCGAGGCGTGGCTTTCTTCTGCTACGAGTCTCAGCGGCCTCCGCCGCCAGATGTCAGCCTGCCGCTCTCGCCGTCTGGGCTGATAGAGACACTAAGGGGGGGGGGGGGGGGGGGGGGGTTTTTCAAAGGGGGGGAGGGGGGGGGGGAAGGGTGGAATAGGGGGGGGGGGGTGGGGGGGGCGGGGGGGGGGGGGGGGGGAAAAAGGGGGGGGGGGGGGGGGGGAGGGGGGGGGTGTGGGGGGGGGGGGGGGGTTGGAGGTTTTTTTTTTTTTTTGTTCGTTGGGGGGGTGGGGGGAATTGAAAAGGCAGTCGCAGGTATGGCGGCGCTTTTGGCGCGCATTCAGGCCCGTGAAGCGTCGGCGGTGGCAAGGCCTGCTGCTGCGCCCTTGGGCGACGCAACGTGACCAGGTTTTGTTTGATGGCATGGTGGGCTAGATCTGGGGCCCCTCGGGACCGTCCTTTTCTTCCCGCCTGCCGTCCCTCACCTGCTGTGCTGTCCGTCGGACGTGCGCAGCGGCTGAGCTGGTCTCGTCGGCCATCGTGGCCGATGTGCTGTTCCAAAATAGTTCAGGCCCCCAGGGGATCGCTGACACAAAAATATTCTGTTTTGGCAATTAATCATTCTTCGTCCAACATCCTCCTGTAGGAGGACACGCCCGACTGCAAACTGGGCGGCTCTGGGCTCATCGTTCGGGGGATGCTCTCCCCCGTCCGTGGATTTGGCGTCCAGGCGCCGGATCCATGGTCAGTATCGTTTACGCGACCCCCATCCCCATCCTCATCCCCTTCGAGACCCCCGCCAAGTTACCCCCCCGTTGGGGATGCACCCCTCGAGGCCCGAAGGGACCGGCCTATGTTTCCATCTGGGGGGGTAAATCGGCCAATGGGGCCCAGGCCACGCCGCTGGTCACCACCCACCAAACCACCCCAACCCAACCCGAAGGCTCAGATTTACCCTCGGTTTCCAGTGGGGGGGGGTCGGGAAACATCAAAAAAAAACATGTGGAACCCTTACCCCCCCCAACCCTAAATTCAGGTATTCGGGTTGGGTTGGGGTGGTCTGGTAGGCAGTCAGCTGGGGATGGGGATCGGTTGAACGATGCTCACATGCGTCCCTACAATAGCCGTGCTGGCGTCTGTTCGAGCATCGATCACGCAGGCACGCATGCTGGCCATGCATCGGGAGGGGCGCACGGTCTGGCGGGCAAGGGTGTTCGCGGCTCCTGCCACGACTCGCCGCGACCACCCCATCGCCAACAGTGCTCACTATCCAGTCGGCGCTGCAAACGGCTTCACGAAACAGCCCAGGAGGAGGAGGAGGAGGAGGAGGAGGAGGAGGAGGAGGAGGAGGAGGAGGAGGAGGAGGAGGAGGAGGAGGAGGAGGAGGAGGAGTGGGAGGAGGAGGGGGAGGAGGAGGAGGAGGAGGAGGACGGGAGGAGGAAAAGGAGGAGGAGGAGGAGAAGAACCAGAGTAAACCCAGTACGCATCAACGATTTTGCAATCAACCCTCCCTCCAAGCTCTCAACGCCTTGGATTTGAACGCCACGAATCAACGTAGCTGTTGCGTCCTGCCAATCCTACATTGCGCAAGGACACCATCTGTTGAACTTTCAGCGCGGCGAATCAACGTGTCTCTCGCGTCTTGACATTTCTAACTCGTGCCAGGACACCATCGCCGTGACTTTTGACACGGAAGCTTGGAAGCGTCGCAGAACATTAGTACGAATGTGCGCGGCGCTGAGAGCCTCATTTTGATCACGGGCCGCCCTCCATCCTTGAAGGCGTTGCAAACTCTTGAAATGAATGTGCGCGGCGCTGAGGCGAGAGCCACATTTTGAAGACGGGCCGCCCATTCTGAGATTGAGAATCATATAACGGTGAAGAAGTCTCAGGCCAAACGCCCGGCCCGCCCTACGAATATGTTTGGGGGTGCGACAGGGAGGAGTTCATTTCAAAGGAAAAGGGAAGGATGATAAGGATGATGATGATGATGCTGATGATGAATGATGATGATGATGATGATGATGATGATGATGATGATGATGATGATGATGATGATGATGATGATGATGATGAGAAGGAGGAGGGGGAAGACGACGACGACGAGGAGGAGGAGCAGAAGGATAACCTACCGGGCAAATCCAACATAATGGTCCCTCATTCGGGCGCAATAGTTATCAGTGTTTTCAACGAAGACCTCCCAGGAGTTGCCTCCCAACCAACTGCCCATACCTCCGGCGATGATGTGCTTGCTCAATTCCGGCCCAATGCTCGGCCCCTGCATGGGGTCGGGGTCTGCTGTTTGGACGGGGACAAGTGGACCCAGGGCGGAACGCGCTCCCCTGGGGAGGGGTTGGGACCTCCTGAGGCCGCGCTTCGAAACCGAAACACCTCGTCGGATGTCTGGGTATGTGAAAGCTTTCCCCCCCCTGGAGTAGATCTTGGCTGTTTTGAGCGCCTGTCTCGAGCAGGTGGAGTCTCCCCCATGGGACACACTGTTGCGAGCAGACGCATCAAGCAGAGGTCCAGAGCCCCCCCCCTGTGCGCCCAAGGTCGGAGCGCCGAAGAAGGAAACGCTCACCATATCCGAGCTAATACCAGGCGAACCTTCCCTGGCCTCTCGCGAGGGTGCTGTCGGCGCCGAGTCCAGTTGCTTCGTTTCTCGGTGCCCTCGGTGCGTTGAGGGGGGTCCCCAAGGGGTCCCCCCCCCCTTCCAGGGAGGAACAGCCACCCGGACCCGACACTTGGCGTTAACTAAGCGGCCCTGGGCGTTTACTAACCAGCCCTGTTTGATTCCTTCTTTGGGTGCGTTTACTCAGCGGCTTCGCGTGTCGGAGTGGTTATTCTCGGGGCGGATTTTCTACCCTGTACCCCTGCCCACCCGAATAAGACACGTCGAGTAAGAAGCGCCGAATACGAATCGCCGAATCGGGGGGGATTTTCTACCCTCTACCCCTGTCCTCCCGAATGTCGAAGCGCCGACTGAGAAAGCGCGCACCGGACACCTGCGCCGATCTTTGCCAGGCCAGCGCTGGGCGCAGGGTGCCGTGCCCGTGCCTCCTGTTGGCGGCGCGCGCAGGGGGGTGGAGGGAGGGGGGAGGGCCTCTTGGAAGGAGGCCGCCTCTTAGAAGGCGCCGGCCCTGCATCTACAGAGACGACCCGCGCCTTCTGGGAAGCAGGGGTGCTAAGAAGCCCTCCCCCCTCCCCCTCCGCCCCCCCCCTGCGCGTGGTCGATCCCTGCCCGGGCCAGAACGCCGTACATCACCTGTCCTGGGCCCCAGGACGGGGCCCGGTCCGGGATAGGCGCAGGTGGGAGTGCCTGGCGCTCTGCCTCGAGGCCTCGTAGATTGCAGGTCGGGCACGTCCCTCCGCAGGAGGAACATTCCAACAGAGCCAGAACATCTAATAGTCTGGGGGCGATGTTTCTCGTGTGTTTTATTCTTTTTGGGCGATCTGCTATGTTTTTTTACTACGGATACGCCTGGTGCTCTCCCTGGAGGCCTCGTAGATGGGGTCGGAGTAGATGGGGTCGGAGGGCGCCGCGGCTCATCGCCGATGCATTGCCGATGCGCCTCGATGTGGGGCCCAATTTGCTCCACGTTGGCGTCGCGGATGCGTCGCCGATGCGCGTCGCCGATGCATCGCCGATGCATCGCCCGTGCATCGCCGATGTATCGCCGATGCGGCGCGATCCTTCGACCCCATCTACTCCGAACACATCTAGGGCGCCTCGAACCACCCTTCGGGTGAGAAGGAGGGTGGGGGGTGGGGGGGTGAAACATCCCGTTGCTGGCAAATGCGACGGGTGTGGTGATGACGATGTTTGGTGACGCGCCCTGGAGTTGGCAACGACGCGTGACGTCGTTGTTGCGCTGTGATGTAATGTCACTATCGTCCCCGCCTTCAATTTTACTGGATCGATCCTACTATCGATCTCACCATAGATCTCACTATGGATTTCGCTTTCAATATCACTATTGATTCCTCTACCGATTCCTCTACCTATCTCACTGTCGATCTTACAGCCAATGCCAAAATCAAACTCGCTATAGATCTCACTTTTGATTTCACTCCCCATCCCATTCTTTTCGGACCCGAATCTACTAGGACCCCATCTAGGAGGCCTCTTCCATATCACCGATCCTGGCGCCCCAGGACGGGGCCTGGCCTGGATCGGTGCAGGCAGGTAACTCTCAAGAAGTGGCGAAGCGTCCTAGTGCTCGCTCATAAGCCCACCCAATCATGTTCTGAGGACCTTTTTCGTGGTCTGCACGAGATGTTCTTAGAACAGTTCTGGCCGAGACTGTCTTGTTTTAACACATCGGGCTTGTGCTCTGAGAACACTGTTCTTACTCTTAGAACATGTTGGGATTCTAAGAGCACGTCTCGTGGTAGGCCGCCTATACGAAGGCCGGGACGGCCGGTCTCTGCTCAAAGGTATGCCTGGCGCCCTCCGAGGACCGGCGGCGCTTTGGCCTCGGCGTCGTGGACACGTCGTGCGAGAACCGGAGGGACAGGAGCCAGGCCGCACGGTGGCACGCCGGGGGGGGGGGGGGGGCGGGGCGGCTCGGCCTCTGCGGGGGAAGGGGGTGCTCTGCAGGAAGGGCCCCTGGGCACTCTCAAGGCGGACTTTCCCAAAAAGGGAGGATTGAGGAGGAGGAGGGATAGGGGAGGAGGAGGAGGTGAGGAGGAGGTAGGAGGAGGAGGAAGGGAGGAAGGGAGGAGGAGGAGGAGGAGGAGGAGGAGGAGCCTCCGATGAACTGGGAAGCTCCCTGCGCTCTTGCATCAGGCCGCTCCTCCTCGCGCCGCCGCCCCCCTTCCGTGCGCGCCGCCCGCAGGTCTCGAGGCGGCCGAGCCAGGACCGCTCGCCGGGCCTCGTGGCCCGGGAGGCGCTGGCCGCCGAGTGGCACCCCGGCGCTCTGGACGCCCGAAAATGGGTACTGAAAGAATGGGCACAGTGCCCAACAGCAGTTCCTGTTCATTTTGGACAGGACTCGCTGCCCGCGCCGCCGCGGCCAGTGTCCATGCGAGACAGAGGGCCGCCTGCCCAACAGCGGCCGCTGTTGGCTTGGGACAACATTTGTTGTTGGGCCTTGTACCCATTTCTTCCGTACCCATTTCGGGCGTCCAAAGGCGCGTCCCTGTCGGCGCCGCAGCTGCGGCCCCTCAGGCAGCACACGTGCTGCCCCACGTCGGGGGCGGAAGAGAGGGGGGTGCCGACCAGGGGGGGGGATCTCGTGGCGGGGGCCATGGTATTTCCCCAGAGGTCAGGGCGCCTCTTTTGATTACGTCTCTGCCCCCCCCACGGGCCGCACACATGCCGCGGGCCATGATTTGCGCCGCCCCCTCTTGGACGCCCCCCTCTTGGCCGCGTCCGACAAAGGGGTCAAGAGCAGACCCATAATTACCTCTGGCGGGCTGATTTTATCGAAGAAGAGAAAACGCCATAGACATAAACTTTTGGCGCTCCGCGCCGATTTCTTGGATCCGCGCTGGGCCCCCTGGCGACGCCTCCGGCGCCGCCCCCGGCGCGCGCCAGGGAGAGGTCCAGTGCAGATCCAAGAAATGCGCGCGGAGCGCCAACAGTTTATGTTTATGGCGATTTCTTTTCTTCTAAAATCATGAGAGCCTGGTATCCCCTTTCAATTCCGTCTGGAGCGTCTACCAGCGACGACTAGCGCTTGGGAGTCGATGGGGTAGCGCCGATGAAACCTCGGCGAGCGTCGAGCAGCGTCGATTTGGCGTCGATGGGCGTCGATCTGGGGTCGACGAGCGCTGATTCGCAAGAGCCGACAAGGTGGTATGGGGGCG